CCCCTCGGTCTCATTTCTTGCTGGGTATACAAGGTGTAGCAACAGTATACCCAGCAAGAAATGAGACCGAGGGGTACCCCCCCAATTTTATTGCGTAAGTTGAGCAACAACTTAGGAACAATTTCATGAAACTTACGCACTGCGTAAGTCTACAACTTACGCAGTAAATTATGGTGCAACTTACGCGGTCATTTTAGGTGGTGCAAGTTGCGCCAAACAAAGCAAAATGAATGATTTGACTAGCTTATCATGTTTGGTTAAGCCTCATCACTGCTGAACTTAACAAGGCTTAGAGAAAATAGTACAAGAAACATATAATTTTGTTGTAGAAGGTAATGAGAAACTTGTTGGGCTGTGAGAAAATTGCTAGATTTTCTGTCTTGTTCTGACTAAGAATAGACAAAAACTTTTTCAAAATGGCGGGCGCAGTTGATTGGATGACTGTTTGACGACTGCTGTTATATTGGAAAGCAACACGTGTTGTAAAAGCTGTTTTTGTCCTCGTCCGAGAAATTTAATATCATCTCCACAACTTTGGTGGAATCGAATGTAAGAAAATGTGACTCACCATCCCCAAACCAGGCTGAAGTAGGTAACTGGGATGCTTGACAATTTCTCTCCTTCGCCTTTGTCTTACAATTCAAAGTGGTCCATGTCAAGTCTAAATTCTGTCTGCAGTAAGGTTTATACGGATAGCAATACCTGTGAAACTTCCATGAAGATGTGAACAATGGGATTTCTCTGTTTTCAGGGAAATGAAGTTACCTACTTCAGCCTGGTTTTGGGATGGTGGGTCACATATTGCCCAGCTCGGGCATAAATATGTGGTGCAAGGCTTACGTTTGGTTCAAAGCTATGCCGCATTTCTTGAAATCGGCTGCTGGTTGGAAGTTGCAGCTGGATGGTCCAAACAGCAATAGTTCCGTTGATGTTCAGCCATAATGGAGTTAGTTGTCTCTCAGACTTGTCCTAATAAATCCGGATAGGGGTAATGTAAACTTGCTGTTTTAGTCCATTTTCTTTCGCTGTTTCATGTTTTCAGTGTCTCAATTAATTAATTATTAATTACTCATTGCATCAAGTCCCCAGTGTTTGGGATCAGTTTGGGCAATATCCTATTTGCTGAAAAAAAACCTAGGCTTAATATGCCTAATTGTGGCTGTAATATTGTCTACAGTGGCACATCTGGGAGGGGAACCCTCAGGGGATTTGACCACCCCCCATAGATGTTTGTTTATCCTTTTTTGTTTCCTTTCTGAAAGAACTGCAGTTTGGGGATAAATCCTGGTCCAAGAACCTCCCCCCAAAAGGATCAAGGCTTGGTGTGGTAGTATTGCTGTCTCAGGAATTAGGGGAGGTGTGGTTTTTGTTTTGTGCTGTGGTGGACGGGGCGCCAGGGTGATGTGTAGTCTGTTTTCCAGCCACAAGTGTGGTACTGGCAGTCTCAAGAAAAAAAAAAGTTCTCTTTTAAACTCATAGAAAATTTAAAACGTGTAAAATTATCAAACTGTAGCTCACAGCACATGTATGTTTGCGTAGGAAATATTGAAGTCTCTGAGACAAATTTGGAATATGTTCGCGTTTGACTGATTGCTTTTTCGGTACATCTTTGATTTGGTTTTTGCATCAATTGAACAATGCTGCTTTCTCAACGCGCACCGCAATATATTTACAAAACGGCAAAGTACCAACAGAGGGCGCTTTGCAGTCGGGTCACATTCTCGCGAGTTATTATTGCCCTTTTCCAATACTCGACTTGGGCTCCGTATCAGGCTTCGTTCCCAAAACCAATCCCCGATTGTGGGCCTGAAGCGTTTAAATTAAGTTGGATTACTGTAATATGTGGCTCTCTTGCATCCTATTTGATGTTTTGTGGCACTATTAGACTAATTACTGCGCTTACAGCTTCAATATCAGCTAGTTAAAAAACAGTTGAAGCCTCAGACGCAGCCGAACTTGAGTATTGGAAAACGGCCTATGTTCACGAAAAGTTCTGAACAGCGGCCAGGCAGAAAAACAGTCTTGTTTCCTGTAAAGTTGCAGAGTGCAGTGCCTTTCCTGCTGGCAAGTTCGTCATCAAAAGCTGACAGCCCGGTTCGTGGAAGTCTGCACCGGAATAGGGAACTTGATTGAAACATCCGCCCCATTTTGCTTAGAAAATACAACCACCTTTAAGTTTCCTGCCGCGATTATAGAACTCCGGGCCACTTCAAGTTCAATGCCTATACCGTGCGGCACGTACTGTCCCACGCTTTCACGGAACTGCTATAGGAGGTGGCCAAACGGTGGCTGAACTGTATTGTCAAAAGAAACGGAAATACCTGTCTGCGGCGGTCAGCCATGTCAGTTGTGGGTCCAATTTTCTGGAAGGACATTAAATGAGTGAATCCCATCCTTGGGCGTAAATCCGGGGGTGGGGTAGATACCCCCCACACACACACACTTGCACCCATATCTGTTTTACATACAAAGGGTGCACATTTCTTTGTTCTCCTGTGGTTAAGGAAACTTGAAGGAAATGCTCCTTTTTCTCCAACTAGGATAACTCCGAGCTTGATTTTTGATGATAATTTCCTGGAGTGTTCCTCTTCATTTTGCCACCGATAACCTTAACCCCAAAATTCATCTGAAACTGCTTTCCAGAGAGGGGAAAACATTATGTGGACGTGTGCGAGTCCATACAACGCCATATTACCCTACATTATGTGGACTTCTTTTGTGCAGAGGTCCACAGTATATGTATGCCACGCCTGCACACACCTTTTGGTGTGAGTGGGATATTGAATCAGCCCACCCACCCCCCATACAAACACATTTGCGTGGTGAGAAAAAAAGGGCAGATTTTGAGGAAATTTTCAGACTTCCCCACAACCAAAATATATTCAAAAACACCCAAAAGGAAGAGCAATGAAAAAGACATAAATCTTCCTTTCTGATGTACGATGCTGCATCCGTATCATGGTTACATAGGCCGTTTTCCAATACTCAATTCGGCTCCGTCTCAGGCTTCAACTGTTTTTTTACCACCTGACTTTGAAGCTGTAAGCGCACTAATTAGTCTAATAGTTCCACAAAACATCATATAAGATGCAAGAGAGCAAAAAAATACAGTAATTCAAATTGATTTAAATTCTTCAGGCCCACAATCGGGGATTGGTTTCGGGGACGAAGCCTGAGACGGAGACGAGGTTGAGTATTGGAAAACGGCCATAGCCACCAACACAGTGTCTGCGCCCTCCTCCGCGCTTTTCAAATTTCCAGTCATTTCCTACTATTCCCCATCCCATTCAGTTCCGAGCAAACACGTACCTCTGTTGCTAGGACAATAGCGCCTTCTCTTGGTCCCGCAATTCGAGAAACGTACTTAAACATTGATCGCTTCGAGTGGTGCAGTAAAAGTTACTAATGCCTCCCTAGGTGATCCATGGAGCTTTCCATTTTGTCTCGGCTTTGCCTACGGAAAATAAAATGCTCCATGGATCACCTAGGGAGGAAATTGTTACGACGCCACGAGACAAAGACACATGAGTCGATATTGTTATGACAACACATCTCCGACGGATTCTGCTGGATTTAAGCCATAAGTGATTAATTTGATCCAACTACACATAAAAGTACGTTTGTTTTTAATACGAAAAATGTTGACAGTTTACCAGCACAGCTGTAGCGCTAGGTCGTTGAACGCACGTGACGTGCGTGTACACCATTATCGATTTACACACACTGCCAAGGATTTCAACCACATTGACTGTCAGTGTTCAATTTACACAGATGTGCCCAGAAACGCGCGAGCCTTTAAGTATCTCAACATTATGGCGTGTATGAAAAGGCATAGATATGGAATAATAAAAAAAAAAAGAGAGATCGGTGGTGCGTCCATACGCGCCCATTCACTATGCAATAATTGTGCGCCATTTTTGTGCTTCCTCTTGGACGTGCAAAATGAACGTCAAGTATACAACTAAATACATTTTTCCTCCAGCACGTGACCTGGCACAACAAACGTGAAACAAATGAGCGTCAAGAACGCGTGGCGCACATACCCTGGAGTGATAATGTCGCTTTCTATTTTAGTTGCGTCCTGCGTTCGTCAAGTATGATGCGCGTTTTTGTATCTTTCCACCAGCACGTGACCCTCCAGGCAAGACGCGGGTAAACACGTACAGCCGATGTAGTATTTTTATTCTAGGTTGCTTTTCGCGCAGTTTCTCCTGTTAACGCAAGTGAGGATGCGCACGCATTATTCCCTGGTCAGGAATAGGCTCCCGCATGACGGGGAATATACTCTCGCTGATCCAAGGGGCGTACTCCTGCTGTTCGTGCGATTCGGGAGAGTACTCGTGAGTACTCGTGAGAGTACACGAGTATCTCGCCGCTCGAACACATCCCATGGCCGTTTTCCAATACTCAACTTCGTCTCCGTCTCAGGCTTCGTTCCCAAAACCAATCCCCGATTATGGGCCTGAAGCGTTTAAATTACATTGAATTACTGTAATTTTGGTTGTTTTTTTGCATCTTATTTGATATTCTGTGGCACTATTAGACTGATTACTGCGCTTACAGCTTCGAAGTCAGCTAGTAAAAAAAAAACAGTTGAAGCCTCATACGGAGCCGAAGTTGAGTATTGGAAAACGGCCCTTTATCCGCCCCGAGCTGAAGTGCACCCCCAATCGGCGAAAGAAAGACAGGTGGTTACAAGTGGCCGTGGATTCTTGCACGTGTTCTGTGCGTGCACGCAAAGACAATACAAGCTGGGATAAATTAGTTACGCGTACTCAGCGTGCTCTGCGTCAGACGCGATGAGGCGCGCCTATGCGGTGAGTACCCCAAAACACGCCCTCTTTTGTTCCTCTCGGAACGGATAGACGGCGATGAGACGCCATAACTACGGTGGCTCTGCACTCACACGTACATCCTTCAGCTCAAGGGGTGCTGCTAATAATTATCAGGAGTCAAAGATTTTTGGAGACGTGTAGAAGATTGGTTAACGTTTCGGGGTATGATAGACTTCGAGCGCACAAAACGATTTTGAGCAACCGAAAAAAATAGAAATATTTGAATACTCACCGGAAATCTTTTTCAGATGCACAGTCCTGTTAGAGACTTTTATAATACAGGCGATTCACAAGAGTGCGCCACATTCCTGGCGCCTCCAATTGGCCAAGAGTTTGCAACGCGTTGGCCAACCACAATGCGCAAAATCTGTCGACCCAATACGCATTTGGAAAGGGTCGACAGATTTTGAGAGGCGCACTCAGTATTGTGAATCGCCGGTATTACCGGGACTGGACGTCATGATTGTCATCATTAGGCCCAGGAAGCGCAGGTAATTGAAGTTGCACGGCTTCCTTGTTTCTCAGCGGGGGTCCGTGCCTTCCATGTGAATTAATTGGACAGTCCACATTTCGTAAGCAATTACAGGCCTATATATGGTAATAAAAACTGCGCGTATACCTAAACTTATTACCGATTTCCAGTGGCGAGACCCCGTCATGTGGGTGGTTTACACTGCACACCCAGGATTAGTCGTGTGGTGGCAGTGGGGGGGGGGGCTTGGACAGGAATTTACCCTCCGTAGTACTCTTGATGCTCAAGCCTCCTCCTTCGGTTGCACCTCTGGGGACTGGGATTTACGGTTTTATCAGAGCTAGTAGATTAATTGGGTGAATATTGCATCTTCGTCTTTTTTTCCAGAAAGAAATTCAAACCAACCAATGTACCCATAAACAACCTTGGGAAGGGGGCCTCACCCCCCGGTCGCTCAACTAGGTAGTTTTGAACAGAATGATAAAAACGCCGAATTGTTTTAAAAACTTTCTTGATTTCATATGAAATTTGACTTTTCTGAGGCCTACATGACAGTGGTCATCTTTACTTAGAAATTGCGCAGTACAATTAGGCCTACATTGTATACAATAGATGAGTCCATATAGAGGATTTTCAGTCATGTGAATTTTGGCGGGTCACGTTCAATTTACACAGGTGTGTACGGAAACGCGCACGCCTTCGAAGTCTCTTAACATTCCTGCCTATAGAAATACTCAGATTCGAAAATGCACCCGCCTCCACAGCCGAAATACCAAGTTCGCCCATCGTGTTACGTCACGTCAAAAACATGTTGGGCCTATATTTTAATATAACTCATGTTTGGAGCCGAAATTTCATTCGACACCATGGAGACAACTTGCTCGACCTCTGCTCAGTTGCGTTCAGCGTCAACTCCCGCAGCACCCACCAATTGACTTTATTCACAAGTCTGCCGTATTAAAAGCGTTATTTTCTTTGGGGGGGGGGACCTAAGAATGAAGCTGAAAGCAACGAGAAAAAAAGTTTCATTACAGAATAATTTCATGTACAATGAAGAATAACGTAAACTTCGTGATGGCAACAATTAAAAACAATGAAAGTGAGGCATGGGCCCTGGGATCGAAATAGTCTGGCACCATCCCATTTGGACAGATTGCATTAAATAAGACAAGATTCAGGGATTATTACTAAAAGATTCCTTATAAATAAGTTCTGTTTCCACATGAGATGTTTGCACTGTACACGAGGCATAGAGCATTATGACTTGAGGGGTGTTCAATACAGGGGAACATTGATAACAAATTCGTGCGTGAAATTATGGAGTGTGACTTTTTCTTATTCCCCATGGTCGGTTTTAAACTACATGTAACCTTTCGTTTAAAACCAGAAGGAGGCCCCGGGCATAATAATGGACCGAGCCGAATTTTCTTAAAGATGACACTGATATAATGCATGCTTCGCATGAATTTGAACTTAGCTTTCAACGCAGTCATGGCAGCTTTTCGCTTTTTGTCAGCTGTCAGAGTGAAACAAATAAAGCCAACATTATCCATCCCAAGGTTATACATAAAATTAATATTAATTCTCAAGTCTCTAAGAAAATGACATCGTATCTAATTAAGGACATACGCGGAACCAAATTTTGAGAGCCAAAAATTTCATTTTTTCATGTATCCTTTTATGGCCTTTCGGAGGGAGGGGCTATACATTCCGGGTCTTTTAACCAATAAGATTGCTTTTTGAATTATTAAAGAAAGCCCTTGATGGGGGTCGTGGTTCCCGAACCCCCCCAAATCCACCATTGTAATAAAAAAAAAACAATTAAAAGAACTACAACTGAATTTAGTTACGACTTTACTTCGACTTGTTGCACTTCGCCTACGCACGTTGCTTAGTACGGAGACTATTTTCTCGGAATTCAGTGGTTATCCGGTGTATAGTGAATCTAAATTGGCCGACGCATGCGGAGAAAAAGAAAACGTCACAGATGGTGAGAACATAAACTGGTTATTTGCAAGGAGGTAGATGGAGAGGGCAGACAAACGTATCATGTGAGACATCTCAATTAATCAGTGCCATCTTCTTTGTTTTACTCACGAGAAAGCAGCATTTTTTACCTTTTGGAAACGTAATTTTGAGTTTGAATGGCCAGAGCAAGACGGCAACAGCGTGTGCATAATGTGTACATGCAGCATAATCAAATCAATTCGTCAGATGTCAAAAAACCCAAGATGGCGTCGCGCGGAGGGCGAACGCCCGGCCACACTGCGCCCCTCTCGGGCCCTGGTAGGTCGAAAACCCCGGTCAGGGTCGGCTACTACGAAATCGAGAGGACTATAGGGAAGGGGAACTTTGCAGTGGTGAAGCTGGCCACGCACGTCATCACGAAAACTAAGGTAAAAAACGACTTTTTCTGGACCGTCGTGTGTGAAAAGTTGAGGTCGGCCTCTCATGGATGGACATGCTGGATATTAACGTGCACCCGGTGTGCAGGGCCTACGCAAGTTCACGTACATACAAAGTACGTGGCATGCATATATGTAGCCTACATGTACGTACGCATAGGGCCTACTGTTGGTCACTAGGTTCACCCATGCCTAGCTCCATGGTTCACCGGAGTTCTGTCGAATCACCCTGTTTATTGTCTGATAATGTACATGCACATTTAGTAAATTTGCTAGTACTAGGCATATGCTATGTGGTCCCTACTAGACAAGCATTGCTTTTTGGGGACTCCCCTGCACCCTTATGTGGAAAGAAAGTGAAGTGAAGGCCTACATGTACTTGTTTTTAATATTGGTATACTACAGTGTTTGTGTACTCTGGAAGTCAGTGTCTACTCTTACCATGCTTACATTGGACATAAACCTACCAAGCACTAGATATATGCCAAAGACGCAATGTCAGTTGGGCCTAATGTAATAAACCAAGGGGCCTGGCATACATGTACACAACAAAATCTTTGGAAATAACTGTCTAGTTGTGATCAGACTTATTATGAATACCCTGAAAACTGGTGAATCGTCGGGCAGCAAGTAGGCCTAAGCCTACCGCAGTACTGTGAACACTTTGAGTCACCATAAAGTGCTATGAACACAGAAAACTGGAACTCTCTTCCCCAGTGTTGCACGAAGACAACCTGATGAAAGTCTTAAAATTGAAGATTATGCCAAGCATTTACATATGTGCAATGTATACATATTCTTAACACAACTTTATAGGCTAGGCCTACATGTAGTTATATTTTTTCGAAGATTTTACTGTTCCAAACTGACTTTGGTGGGGGTTTTGAAGTAAACTTTTTCCTCAATAAATTCACCCTCCCATGACCAGGTTATTGTGTGTCCCACTCCCAGTGCCACTCTGCTCATTAAGGCATGTAGCTCAAGAGCTACCCCTGTCAGGACACGAGGGCCATGGGTTAACCCTTACCTTCCCTAACCACACAGAATTCAACACCAGTAAAGTGTGTGAGATTGGGGCATTGGGTACTGGTAGCTTACTACGTGTATCTGATGTTTAATTTTGTGTGAGTGGGTGCTGTGGCCCTCTCACTTTATTCCAGCGGTTGGGGATGGATATGCAGCATGATGGTGTGTGAGTTGGTTTGAATAGGTACTGCCTGTCCATACTCTTTGTACTGTGCAGTGGGCCTGCTGTACCCAATCAACACAATCACACAGGTAAAGCCCTGTTGAAGTTTGTGGGATTGAGTACTCTTACAGCAGGAGTACTGTTGACGTCTGTGGGATTGGGTACTGTGAGGTAAGAGTGTTTTTCCAACGTGTTGAAGTTTGTGTGATTGGGGAAGGTTAGGTCCAGCAACCCTTGGGCAGTTAGGGTTGAAGACCCACTGCAGGCAGTTTTTAGGGTACACACATTCGACCCTAAAAGGTCACAAGATTAATTTTTGTATTTTTGAAATTTGATTCCTAGTGTACACATGTAGACATAAACATTAGCAATATTATTAGCAATAAGCCTTTTTTTGCAAGTTAAATTTCAAAAAATCTGGTACACAGAGTTCTTCAAAAGTATGTGAACGTAACAATTTGAATTCTCCATACTAAAGACACTGTTGCTCTGCCTTGTGATCATGATTCAGGGCACTCTTTTGCTTAGTTACATAAGAGACACCTTGCACTGATATACATGTCCATGTACTTCATGTATTTTCAATGGATAAGAAGGGCACAAAGGAACCAGTCCATTCCAGAGAGGCAGAAGCTTGCCCCGAATCACGAGGTACCGGTGCTGTAGTCGAGACCATCACAAGACCAGACACAAGACCATGCAAAAGACCATGCACAAGACTAGTCACTGGTAACAGGTTGAACAGTGACAAAGGCTTGTGAAGGTCTAGAGTAGTCTCGACTACAACACTGACCAGTACCCGGTATTGTATACAATCAGGTAACTCGGTGTGATTTCGCCCAAATCAACTCACAAAAGGCTTATTACAAGCATTCTTCTCCCTTTTCTTTAAGGGAAATAAAGTTCCAAATTGTCTAAATTTCTTCCTTGTATGAATCGACAGTGACAATGGACGCACAGATACATGTACCTATATAAATATGTACGGGTAGACAGATTTATTCAGCCAATGATCCTAAAGAAACAGCAATCATAGGAATTTGTAAAGTTGGACTTGTATAAAATCACTTTTAAATGAACACGTTGTGTACTATCACAATAATTCTACACACCTACAAGAAAGTTCGCATGAAATTGAAGCAACAGTGTGCCTAATAAACGCATGGCATGCACAGGCCTAACAGGACCCGCTGGAGGTCGAGGGGCCCGCTTAAGGGGACTCTTGGTCACTTTTTCTTTGAGTTTTTCTTTCCAAATTGATTTAGAGTTCAATTTGAAAAAAATTTGTCCAGGTAAATATATGATATTTTCAAAATGACTGATTCTTTTTCTGGAATTTTTAAGGATTTTTGTGGCGGTTGGTGGGTTGTTTCATCAAGCTTAGTGCCGGACGTTAGAATGCTGTGGTGTGGAGATCCTCGACCAGTGTAGTTACATGTATATCACTGGTCACAATACGTGTATCTAAATTTCATTTTTGAGTTGTTTGGTTCTGAGAAGAACCTACATGAACCGGTATGGTTTAAACTCAGTGTTTGGAGCAGGAGGCTTTCGGACTGCTCTGTTTAGAATTAGATTGTTGCTGATGGCTTACAGTTAGCCCATGGACCCCAATCATTGGAGTGTTGCACACCTGTTTATTTTTGACTTTGGTTGATGGTATGAAACCCCAGTGAAGTGGCCGGCTTCAGGTTCTGTATGATTAACTTCACCTTTACCACTCAACAATTTTCAGAAAAAATGCCGAGATAATCATACAAGTGTTGATGGTGCTTGGCAATATTGCCTTAGTGTTGATTAACGTGCCCCTATGATTATGAAGTGGCTGTGTTGGCCTGTGGTACTTCATGGCCGGTTGCTGCCGGTTTATTTACAGTGACCATCGGGGAAGTTAACTGGTAACTCTCATGTTCATAAGATAAACTATTAGAGGGCTTCAGGTAGACTTGCTCGGTGGTGGGCAAGTGGCTGTGATAGAATATGATCAGTTACTGTGCACAGTCAGGAAAACAAAAAGATTGCCATGGCAGTCAACGTAAGTGGATTTGGTCGAATTTGATCGATTGGCTCTGCGACCTCTGAAGTCGGCGTACGTGTAGTTCATTTTTGACTTGTAGAGAAGCCAGAAGGCCATTTTGTTTTGCTCAGTTGTTGTTATTTTGACGCTCTTTTGAGCTCAGTGCAAGGTAACGATTAGAATAGACTCATTGGAGAAGCCAGTGGATGATTTTTAAGACTTGTATTTTGTCATGTCGTTGTCATATTTGGCACATACATGTATGTATATTTTTTTACAGTATCCCTGTTGATTGGTCTAGAAAAATGAGGCTCATCATGCCCACACTGTATGCATGAATTTTATAAATAGGCCAACATACACAAATACGTACATCTAGGTAAATCTTGCTGGAAATACTCAAAGTACCAGACTCAAATGGGTTGAAAAGTCACACTGGTTTGCGAGTCACACGTACGGGTACAAGCAGGGTCACAATACAGCCTGACTTTGTCTTGGAAGGAGTCCAGTAACTTGGCTATAGGACGGGACATTAACGGTTCTGGCAGGGTGGCAAAACCTGAGTTGAAGGTGATGTAAAACAGCAGAAGGGTACCGTAGTCAACAGGGTTCCTCCCACACCCAGGACCTTCTATGGAGAGCACGGTGGACCACAAAATACATGTAACTCCCTCATTTTCAGGTTGAAGCTGTGCCACTTACAATGAACATGGCGGTACAGGGCACTTTAGGCCCTTGTTGTCGTCAAGTACTTTTTGAGTACCAAGTTCTCTGCCAAACATTTAATTAGATAAGAAGGAACAAAGCTGAAGTACATGTACATGTATGTACCGTACATGGGCATTTGATGGCATACATGTACCGCACATGCACAAAGGTAAGATTACAAAGTAAAATGGTGACTTCAGGCCATCACTGTTTTATAAAAATTCATTTTTGGGGAGTTTCCGAGCACTTTTCTCCTGAAAACTTAAAGTTTACAAAACTGGGGGCATCTTAAGTAGTGTATTTAGTTTGTTATGTTACCTTAATATGCTAACTCAAATGCGTACGGTACATCTATGTCACTATGATCCAGTTTTATTCCCTCTTACCTACTAGTACAGCCGTAGTGCAGTATTTGGCAGAGAACCCTGGCACTCAAAAAGTACTCGACTGCAACTCTGGTTTAGCCCAAGTGTTCAGAACTACGCAGTGTGTTTGCACTGGTTCGAAATCATTTTCATCAGGCCACCTCAAAAATAAAATTGAAAGTCACTGGATTAGTGTGTTTAATGTAGCTTTAGATACCTTACGTGTAAAAGAAATTTCTTTGAAGAAATGCAGTATTTTACCCTAGTGATCCTTAATTGTTCACATGTTGGAGAATTGAGGTAGGTTAATAAATTTACAAACAAAATAAAAATTGAAAAAAAAAACCAAAAACGAAAGGGAACAAATGCCACCATTCTGTCCCATGAGGACAAACATGTATGTGATACGTGTGCCTAATGTTTTGAAGTAACCTCACCAGGAAATACCGGTGCTCAAATACATTGTACATGTATCTGGCAGTGCGCACATTGTGGCACTGTACTACCGTACATGATAACATACCACTGTATGTGTACCTGAACCATCAGGATTTGTATCATGGACCACATCCTGATTGGAAAGGAGTTTCAAAATATTCGTGCAGTGGTCGGACAAAATTGCCTAACCACCGTGCCCTACTTTGCTGTTACCCCTTGAAAACAAGCCATACCACCTGTCCCCATACATTCATGGGGGGGATGGGCTAAGTAT